GTGTGTTTTTAAATTCCAATATCCCAAGCCTATCTAAGTGTTTTGAAAAACCTCTCTTGGTTGGCAAACTAATGGAAGTAACAAATAAATGAATTATGGAACGAATCGATACTACTTTTTCTGCTTTCTTTCTTCTGCATTATTTTAATTTCTCTTTAAAGCTATTCATCAAAATGTATATATGTGAAAAATAATAAGAAGAAATCAACTCAGAATTCTCACTAGAGGCTCAAATTATCTTATTTTGGACAAGTTATGTAGAAGACCCAACACTTTGGAGAAGATTCTGATGCTGGGAAAGGTGGAAGAAAAAGAGAAGAGGACAACCGGCAGCAAGTAGAGATGAGGGCACCATTGGAAGCCCAGAAGGATGAGACAGATCATCCTGGAGAAGATTAATCTATCCAGTCATTAAGTGGCAATCATGGCTCATCACCAGTTGGTCAACGCAAAGACCCATCTTCCTTGAGAAATCCATAATGCTTGGAAAAAAAAGCAGTGGTGAAATTCAATTTTTTTTACTACCGGTTCTGTGGGCGTGGCTAGGTGGGCATGGTGTGGCTTGGTGGGTGTGGCTTGGTACTGCAAAATCTCCATTTCTACCCCACTCCAGGGGAAGGATACTGCAAAATCCCCAATTCCCTCCCCACTCCTGTGGGAAGGACATTGCCAAATCTCCATTCCCACCTGACTCTGGTACCAGCCAGAAGTGGAATTTGCCGGTTCTCCGAACTGCTCAAAATTTCTGAAGTAATACACAAAATTTACAGCTGTGCAGAGATGGACAGATTTTAGAACTCAAGGACAAAGGTGAATCAACATACTATGAAGTCTGGAATAAATGTTATAATTAGTTAGATAAGAGGAAGAATGCCAGAAACAAGGGATAACGAATGTCTGGAAATGTATATATCAATGTATAACAATGTATCAAGGTATATTGAATTTGTGAATGCAATATAGGTTTACTGAATATATGTATAGCTGTTTAGGAAGTAAAATACTGTATACTTGATATATAATGAAATAGGAGATATGTAAATTTGTATATAGATTAAGGAATATGTTACTTATTAACTTGAATTTGACGCAAATGTTAGAAACCAGAGACGTTGAGCAATGGCCATTGTTTTACTTTTAAAACTAATAAAATATTTTAAAATTAAAAAAAAAAAATCCGTTACCGGTTCTCTGAACTGCTCAAAATTTCCGCTACCAGTTCTGCAGAACCTGCTGGATTTCACCCAGGGGTGAAATGTAAAATTTGTTACTACCGGTTCTGTGGGTGTGGCCTGGTGTGGGGAGGTAATGTAACTGGGTGGGCATGGCCAACTTTTTTTTTTTTAACTTTTCAAAGCATTTTTTCTAATGCTTTGAAAAGCCTCTCTGCCGATCAGGCAACTCAGTTGGGATTGTCAGAGAGGCTTTTTAAAAAATGCTTTGAAAAGCCTCTGACGATCCCGTGCGATCATCAGAAGCTTTTTTTTTTTTTACTTTTAAAAGCATTTTTTCGGCGGAAGAGGTTGTAGAAAAAATGCTTTTAAAAGTAAAAAAAACAAAAAAGCCTCTGATGATCGTACAGCTCAGCTGGGCATGGTGGAGGGGTGTGTGTGCAGGGATTTTTGCTACCGGTTCTCTGAACTACCCGCCGCCATCGCTACCGGATCGGGCGATCCTGTCCGAACTGGGAGCATTTCACCCCTGATTTCACCCCTGAAAAAAATGGAAGGACACTGAGGAAGAGGATGACCTGGAGGAGGTGGGTGGACTCCGTTGCTTTGGTGATGCGGAGGACATCATGGGAAGATCTGAAAGAGCAAGTTAGGGGTAGACCACCATGAAGAAAATCCATCTACGTGGTTCCTAGGAATCCACACTTGAGTTGAAAGCGGTCAGTCATCCATCAGCCATTAGATTAGAAAGTCCCAAAACAGAAGATTTCCTGTTCGATTAAATCACAGATGTCAAGGATTTTATTTTCGTACGGGAAATGAATCTTTCCGTTTCAGAGAAGAGTCAGCAGAACTGGAAATAGGGTGGATTTTTTTTGTTATTGCAAACAGCTTTGGGGCAGTATTGAAATTCTAGCACTGTACAGACAGCATGGAAACAAGGGAAGGTGGTGCTGAGTCATGAAATGACTGGTCATAACCTTTCAATTTCACCTTGAAGTTCACAGAAAGAATTTGCACCCTGTCCTGAATGGAAGGAAGTCCGCCAACTACAGAGAGTGCTTCATTGACCACCTTTCACTTAGTGACCGTTTCGAAGTGACAACAACCCTGGAAAAAGGGACTTATGACCATTTTTCACACTTTACGACCATTTGCAACATCCCCATGGTCACGTGATTAAAATTCAACATGTAGGGCAAGTGGTTCATATTTATGACGGTTGCAGTTTCCCGTGTGTGTGTGTGTGTGATGTGAATGACTTGTGTTCCTAACTTATTTATTTATTTATTTATTAGTTCAATTTATATGCCGCCCTTCTCTGGAGACTCAGGGTGGCTTACAATGCTTTTAAGCAATAGCCTTCCTACTTTTGTATATACCTGCTTAGTAGGGCTTTCGACCCCCCCCCCCAAGGGGTGTTCTTTTTTATACAAAGTCAGCTTATTGCTCCCACAAACCGGGTCCTCATTTTACCTACCTCGAAAGGATGGAAGGCTGAGTCAACCTTGAGCCTGGTGAGATTTGAACTTGCAGTAATTGCAGACAGCTGGCAGCTAAGTGCTACTTAACAGCACTTTAGTCCGCTGTGCCACCAAGGCTCTTTGGCAACCAAGGCACCACAGTGATTCACTTAACAGCGGTGGCAAAGAAGGTCGTAAAATAGGGCAAAATTCACTTAACAACGGTTTCACTGAGTAACCGTAATTTTGGGCTCGATTGTGGTTGTTAAGTCGATGATAGGCCATTTAGAAAGGGACAAAAACTGATGGGAATTTCAACCTAGTGAAATTGCAGGGCAGTGGTGAAATCCAAATTTTTTGTCCTACTGGTTCTGTGGGTGTGGCTTGGTGGGCGTGGCAGGAGGATACTGTAAAATCTCCATTCCCACCCCACTCCTGGGGAAGGATACTGCAAAATCTCCATTCCCACCCCACTCTGGGACCAGCCAGAGGCGGTATTTGCCGGTTCTCTGAACTACTCAAACTTTCCGCTACCGGTTCTCTAGAACCTGTCAGAACCTGCTGGATTTCACCCTTGATCCAGGGGTCCTTTCTGCTTTTGAACGAAAGAAAGACAATGCGCACATGCATGAAATCAATGTCATAGCAGGCGGGGAGGCACTAAATAAAATATTGAGAGTGATATGCTTTATTCTATAAAGAGAAATGGGGGAAGACATATGGAAGGCAGATAGATGGAGAGAGAAGACAAAGACATGGGAAAAAAAGACCGAGGCAAGGAAAGAATCAGAATCAGAATAGAGCTGCAAGGGATCTTGGAGATCTTCTAGTCCCGTGATGGCGAACCTATGGCACGCGTGCCCAAAGTGGCACGTGAAGCCATGTCACCTGGCACATGCGCCCTTGCCTGTTTTGTGTTCCGGGTTTCTGGTGCTCAGGCGTACATGATGATCATCTGTCTTTCGCACATGTGGCAGTGCTGAAAACCGGTGTGCGCATGCACGCCGACCAGCTGATTGTCGGGTACACATGCACGCCAGAACCTGGAAGTTCGGCTTTTCCGGAGTGTGACCCTTCACACGCGCGGCAGTGCCGAAAACTGGCCTGCACATGCGTGCTGGCTGATCTTCGAGCGCGCATGGCACTACAACCCAGAAATCTGGCTTTGCCAGAGCGCGGCCCTGATGAACACGCACGTGTGTGCACACGTTTCCGTGCAACTTTTTCAGCACTCGGTGCTGAAAAGGTTCACCATCACTGTTCTAGTCCAACCCCTTGCTCAAGCAGGAGACCCTATACCAGTGACGGCTAACCTTTTCACCGTTGCGTGCCAAAAGAAATAGACATATCTAAATAAATGATTAATGAGGATAACAATATATAGATTGATGATATGAGAATATAGGTAAATTAAAAACTGTAAACTATGAATTTGATGAACGATGCACAAAAGATTTGTAACCAACCGACACACTGTTTGCAATTGTTATTGAAGATGTTTTTATGTTTGTCTGTTTAAAAAATAAAAAAAAATCTTTTTCCAAAATAACCCCCAGTTATTTACTTTTGAGCCTAATTCAAACCGTTGTTGGTTTAACTTTTCAAACTCTGTCTACCTTGGAACTTAAACATCTCCTGGAATCTCTCTTCCGAGTAGAATATTTGTCAACTTTCACTTGCCAAAGTAGCTGCTGAACCGTATTGCTGTTTATTTAAAGTTTGCCCAACAGAATGGGCTTTAAGTCTGCAAAAGCTGGTAACATCCTGACTCCCAGACACGACACAACAAAAGAGACTGTGAAAGAAGAAAACAAGTCCAGGCTTGCCCATTTTTTCAAAAAAATATACAGGTACTCCTCGACTTACGACCACATTGGCACTAAGTGATATGGTCATTAAGTGAGTCATCATCGGACCGTGGCCGAATTTATGACCTTTTGGCTGTGCTCATTGGGCGAATCTGGCTTCCTCCATTGATCTCGCTGGCTGATCCTAGGATGGCTACAACCATTGTCCGTCCTGGCAGCTGCCAAATGGCTGGATTGCGATCATGTGGCCACAGGAGACACCGTGCGTCATTAGTGCGAGGACTGGTCATAAGCGATGGGCAGCAAGTTATTTGATTTGACCAGTCTTAGGATGAGTCCTCGCACTTATGACGCACGGGGTCCCCCGTGGCCACATGATCGCAATCAGTGCACTTGGCAATTTATAAAAGCCCCTTACAAATAAATAGATAGATAGATAGATAGATAGTAATAGCACTTAGACTTATACACCGCTTCACAGTGCTTTCCAGCCCTCTCTAAGCGGTTTACAGAATCAGCCTCTTGCCCCCAACAATCTGGGTCCTCATTTTACCCACCTCGGAAGGACAGAAAGCTGAGTCAACTTTGAGCTGGTCAAGATCGAACTCCTGGCAGTGGGCAGAATCAGCCTGCAATACTGCATTCTAACAGGAAGGAAGGAAGGAAGGAAGGAAGAGAGGAAGGGAGGGAGGGAGGGAGGGAGGGAGGGAGGGAGGGAGGGAGGGAGGAAGGAAGAAAGAGAGAGAGAGAGAGAAAGAAAAAGAAAGAAAGATTTCAACACTATTGTAACTTTGACCGGTTGCTAAAGGAATGATGGTAAATTGAGAAAACTACCTGTACTCTCATGGTCAAAGGTGACCATTTAAGGAAGCTAAAAGCAGCAGAGACGATGGGATTGTCATTGTCCAACTTCCCTGAGACACACAATCAGGAAGAAGGGACTCCTTTTTTGACCGTCTCTTGATTATGACATCTCCGTTCTCTGTTACTGCAGCCAAAGTGAGCTTTGCAGATTTTTTTTCCCCCAGCCCCAGTTCAGGAATCTCCCAGACAGGATTAAGATTGCAGTCTTAGAGCTCTGACCAGCACTGGCTTAAGCCTCAGATGGATGACCTTAAGGTTTGACCCCCCCCCCCCCGCCCCGGCTCAGTCGTGCTGTGCCAGGAAGCACCATCCAAGCCCTAGCATTTTCCCCCAAGGAGACCCCTCCTCACCCACCATCCATTTCCCTCCATCCTTGCTGAATTTTGGAGCCTGTTTATTCGGAAGTGAGGGCGGATGGAAGAGATCAAGAAATGCTTCAATGAAGTTGGATGCAGGGCAGGGGTGAAATCTAAAATACGTTACTACCGGTTCTGTGGGCGTGGCTTGGGGTGTGTGGGGGGGTAATGTGACTGGGTGGGCGTGGCCAACTTTTTTTTTTTTTTTTAACGTTTCAAAGCATTTTTTCTAATGCTTTGTGAAGAGGTTGTAAAAAATGCTTTCAAAAGGCTCTGACGATCCCAGCTGAGTTGCCTGATCGGCTTTTTTTCTTTTAAATGCCTCTGACGATCAGGCAACTCAGCTGGGATCGTCAGAGGCATTTAAAAGAAAAAAAGGTTTTTTTTCTTTTAAAAGCCTTTCACGATCCCAGCTGAGCCGCGCGATCATCAGAGGCTTTTTTTTTTTACTTTTAAAACCATTTTTTCTACAACCTCTTCCACGAAGAGGTTGTAAAAAAATGCTTTCAAAAGCCTCTGACGATCCCAGCTGAGTTGCCTGATCGGCAGAGGCTTTTTTTCTTTTAAATGCCTCTGACATCCAAGCTGAGTTGCCTGATTGGCAGAGGCATTTAAAAGAAAAAAAGCCTCTGCCGATCAGGCAACTCAGCTTGGATGTCAGAGGCTTTTAAAAGAAAAAAAGAGTTTTTTTCTTTTAAAAGCTTCTGACGATCCCAGCTGAGCCGCGCGATCATCAGAGGCTTTGTTTTTTTTTTACTTTTAAAAGCATTTTTTCGGCCGAAGAGGTTGTAGAAAAGATGCTTTTAAAAGTAAAAAAAAAAAAGCCTCTGATGATTGTGTGGCTCAGCTGGGCATGATGGGGGGGCCAGGGATTTTAGCTACCGGTTCTCCGAAACACCCACCTCCATTGCTACCGGATTGGGTGATCCGGTCCGAACCGGGAGCATTTCACCCCTGATGCAGGGGCTCCAGCAGCAGAAGGCAATGGAAGACCATGTCCCCACTGGGGCCCACAGGGGTATCCGTGATTACGGAGGTCACGATCGCCATGATTTTGACACACATAAAAGGGGACGAGGCTTTGAATACACAGTTGTCTCTCTCTCTCTCTCTCTCTCTTTTTTGGGGGGACCACTCCATCAAAGGAATCTCTGATTGTCATCAAAAAAGTTGTGCCAGACTCATGAGTGTTGGGAGAGGGTAGTGCAGTGGTGGGTTCCTCCCGGTTCGGCCCAGTTCGGCCGAGCTGGTAGCAGTGACGATATGACGTCACCGAACTGGTTCTCTTTGTTTGGGAGCTGGGCCCTTTCGCCCCCCCCCCCGTTATTCTTATCTTTTATTTGGCCCCGCCCCCAATCTATTCGCTGCCTCCTGAATCCCAGCTGATGGCTAGAGGGAAAGAAACTGTTTAAACTATCCAGGCTGAGCCTGGATAGCTCAGCAGACTAATGCATTGTAATTTAACTCCAGCTGTCTGCAATTAGTAAGTTCGAATCTCACCAGGCTCAAGGTCGACTCAGCCTTCCATCCTTTCTAAGGTAGGTAAATTGAGGACCCAGATTGTGGGGGCAATAAGCTGACTTTGTATAATACACAAAAGTACGAAGGCTATTGCTTAACGCATTGTAAACTGCCCTGAGTCTCCGGAAAAGGGCGGCATATAAATCAAATTAAAAAAACAAACAAAACTCTTGCTGTGGGGCTTCAAAGGGCCGCCCTACAGCTTATCAGTGTTAAAAGGCAGTGTGGTGATAGACCAGTGCGCTCGAAAAAGAAATGGGTCGACCGGTGCCTCCAAAAACAAATGGGTAGACTGGTGCCTCCAAAAACGAATGAGTAGACTGGTGCCTCCAAAAACAAATGAGTAGACCGGTGCCTCCAAAAACAAATGAGTAGACCGATGCCTCCAAAAACAAATGAGTAGACCGGTGCCTCCAAAAACAAATGAGTAGACCGGTGCCTCCAAAAACAAATGGGTAGACCAGTGCCTCCAAAAACAAATGAGTAGACCAGTACAGCTCTGCAAGCAGTTAAAAGCCTGGTAGACCAGTACCTCCGCTAAATCCTAAAGAATTGTCACATGACCATCAAACCACGCCCATAAAATAAGCCACGCCCACAGAACCGGTAGTAAAAAATTTTAGAACCCACCCCTGGGGGATGTGTTAAACCAACAAGTAAATGAAAATGGCATGGAAACTTCCATGCAGCGACTTTAAAGGTACAAAGATAACTTTTCTTTAAAAAAAATATTTGGCACAAATTGCCGGCAGCGCCGGGTTCTGAAATGCAGTTATGAGATGACCCCAAAATCCTAGGGTTGTAGGGGAAGAAGAGAAAAGGGCAAGTAGGTGAGGAAGGGGAAGGGAAAGAGAAGGGAACAGACTGAGAAAGAGAAGGGGAAGAGGAGGAAGAGAAGAAGGGAAGAGCTTGAAAACAGAAAAGGAAGAGGAGAAGGAGAAGGGTAGGAGAAAGGAAAGGAGAAGGAAGTGAAGACGAAGAGAAGGAAAAGGAGGAAGGGGAGAGGAAAAGGAGAAGGGGAGAGGAAGAGGAAAGGGAGGAGGAGGAGAAGAGGGAAGGAGAAAGAAAGGAGGAAAAAAGAAGAGGAGAAGAGATTGAGAAAGAAAGGGAAAAGGAAGGGAAGAGGAAAAGAAAGAATAAAAAAGAAAGGGAAGGGAAGGAGGAAGAAAGGAAAAGAAGAAGAAAAGAGGAAGAGGAGAGGGGAAAGAGGAGAAACGAGAAGAGTTTGAGAAAGAAAAGGAAGAGAATAAGAAAGGGATGAAGAGGAGGCAAAGCAAAGAAGGGAAGAGGAGGGGCAGAAGGGCCATATGGTTTCCAACCACGTGGCCTAATCGTGACCTCGGAGTGACCAGAAACCGGGCGATTATCCCCCCTCTGATCCTCCTCGCCTGGCCGGTCTGTCCGCTGAGTCACCCTCCCCATCATGCCTCTGGACTGAAGCCATCTCCCCCGCAGGAGAGCCTCAGGGGGGGCTCAGCTTACCCCCGACATTCTGGGGGAGGCAATCCATGAAGGATGGCTTCTGCCCCAGGCTGGAAACTCCCACTTCCCCCCTCACACCCGGAGAGTTTCGAAGCTTCCACCTCAGAATCAGAATCAGAATAGAATAGAAGCTGGAAGGGACCTTGGAGGTCTTCTAGTCCAGCCCTCTGCTCAACCAGGAGACCCTACACCATTTTAGACAAGTGGCTGTCCAGTCTCTTCTTCAAAGCCTCCAGTGATGAAGCACCCACAACTCCTGGTGGCAAGCAGTTCCAGGGGTTAATTGTCCTCACTGTTAGGAAGTTTCTCCTTAATCCCAGATTGCTTCTCTCTTCGATTAGTTTCCATCCCTTGTTTCTTGTTCTGCCTTCTGGGGCTTTGGAGAATAATTTGACCCCCTCTTCTTTGTGGCAGCCCTTCAAATATTGGAATACTTCTATCACGTCTCGCCCGTCCTCCAGTCCTTCTTTCCTCTAGACTAGCCAAACCCAAATCCTGCAGCCGTTCGTCGTATGTTTTAGCTTCATCTTTTTTGTAGTGCGGTGACCAAAAACTGGATAGCAGTATTGCCTCCAGAAGTCGTGAATTCTCCAACACTGGAAGTTTTTAAGAGATTGGAGAACGATGTGTCTGAAATGGTATACTATAGGCCAGGGCTTCCTGCCTGAGCAGGGGCCTGGACTAGAAGACCTCCAAGGTCCCTTCCAGCTTCTATTCTATTCTATTCTATTCTATTCTATTCTATTCTATTCTATTCTATTCTATTCTA